AAGGGCAGAGAAGATAACAAAAACTATAATTCAACTATCTCGTGTTGTTCCTAGTTTTAGTAGATCATAGCATTTCAAACGGGTAGACAGTAAGACGCGTACAAACAACCGAACAAATGATCTCCCACGTATAACAATAACAACACATTTCTTACAAAACTAAAACATTTGACTTACCAAATATGTTTTTGAATTGAATTACTTACATTAAGAGTCAGGTCATTAATATGGGGTAAAATGTATATTTGGCCATGAGTTGAATTTGACTGAACATTTTCCTCCAAATATTAGTTGTGGCAGATCAGCCGGGCTCCTGCTACTTTCAACACCTGACATTTAAAGTATATGTAGCCAAAATGAAAACACCTTTTTCCCCTGACCTTCTATTCACACTAAATTGGAGTTTTTGACAGCCAAAACTGAGCTTTTCCAGACTCACCAAAGCAGATACACATTTAGAAACACCATTATCCCATCACTCTCACCTTCTCTCTCTCTTCAATACCCCAACACCATGTTCACAGTGGAGTTGTGTGCAGTGGAGCCCAGCTTTTGTGCGCCCCAGTGGGATCACTGGTGTCACTGTTCACACATTTAGGTTCATGTGACATTGACCTGTGGGTGACAGGAGACCTCAATTCTCTGGAGAGGCAGGTGTTGCCAAGGCTGCTGAAAGCACCACCAGTGAGGTCATACTGTGAGGCACGCAGCATTCAAAGGCTTTACTTTGATGATTCAGGCTGAAAAAGCCAGACAGCCCACTGTAATACAATGGCCTGCAATCTATTTTAAGAGTAAAGCCTTTGACTCTTTCAAAGAGACATACCCACAAACTTAGAAAGGGTAAATAAAAGTGTCTGTAACAAACATTATCATGTAAACAATCATCAACCAGAGTGCGGCATCACTATAATTGATGTATTATCCATATGTTTATCGTGCGGGCCTGTGTGATGATTGCTGCTATGGTCCAGTGGGCATGTTAGAGTGTACGCTCCGAGGAAGAGGCAAGCTATGCCTTCCAATATCAGCTGGCCTCAAAGCTGGCTCTATAATGCATGAAGATCAATACGCTGTGGCTTTGTGAGTGAGGCTTGCAACTCTGTGCCCATATCAAGTATTCCCGCCAAATGCCCTGCCGTTTGAAGAGATCTATGCCTTCGGATTTATCAGGGCTCAGGGGAAAGCAGGCTAAAGTCTGGATACCCAAACTGCTATTGTTTAGAAGCGGGAGAAAAAACAAGGCTAGTATTACGGTTGGGTGTTTCTGACAATCCCAATTTGATGACAAGATTTAATGACACACAAGCATTTTACAGGGATCAGTGCTAAAGGGGCATTTCACCAAACAATCATCAAAGTTCTATTTTATATAATCCTCAGCTTCAACAAAATCCAAAATTGAAGACATTTTCTGATTAATTTATTGTATTTCACGCTTGTTTGACAATATTTTGGGTTGTTTGTTCTAGCTCTCATACTGTATGCAGGAGGATCAACACATTTTTCTAACAGCAACATTAAACCACAGTACTGTAGGTTTGCATCTGCCACCATTGTTGTAAAAATAAAGAATCCAGTCAAATCTGCTTCGAAAGCAGTACACCCCCTACCCTGGTGCAGTGACACTTTTCGATTGCATGAAGACATTCCAGGTTGAGTGTAGATTACCTTAAGGTACCCTGTGGATTACTCATTTTGAAGAGACACAGCCTTTATTTACATTCACTTTCTCACCAAAATGCCTATCGTGTATCCCTATGAACTAGAAAATGCATAAAAAATGTTTGTTGCAAAGCCTTTTTCTAATGTTCTGAAACTGTGCTCGCTATATTCCTTTCTTCTTTTGCTACCTTTAGGAAAAAACGACATCAAAACATTTCTATACATTCATCGAGTGATCAAACGCTCCAGAAGGTACCTTTTGGAAGTGATTGAAAAGGTAATATTGATTCTAAGGGACTTATTTACTCATACATTTCTAGATAGAGATATTGTAAAAGTGTGTGTGAATTTACAAATCAGTGTCCAGCAGGCAAACTTGACAAAGAGGGAGTTTTTTGGATTATGAGGATCTGTTTTTATAAGTAAAACCAAGGACTGATGTTCGCTCGTCAGACTGCTTTTGTTTTGACAATTTAGAAGAGGTTACATTTTCCAGCGTTAAGTAAGAAAAAAGCTCACAGAATTCCTCAAAGATAACATATTAAATACTATATTCTGAGGCACATATACTGTATGCTTGACTGCTTTCCAATCTTGTTTTCTACATTGTGACCCTTCAGGTTAATATCATGCCCCCCATGATCCCATGGATTGCCAGGTAAGCAAACGTTCTCTTTTTCTATTACACAGGTTAGACCCAGCGTTCCCTCGTCTCTGACACCTCAGACCCAAGCCAGTAAATAAACTATCAAAATGTAACTACACTGACTCTACAGCCCTCAGTTAGTGCTACTGTAAAAACGTGAATGTTAACAACAGTCTGACACGATACACATGATAGCAGTGTTTTTTGACTGGCTCTCAAAGTTAAAGCAGTTTGATTAGTTGTGCATATTCTTGCTGTTAACTAGTAGATAACTTTTCTTTAATTTTATAATCGTTGACTGTATATTAAGATTCTATGAACGCTGTAGGAGAGGTTAAATGCAGCTTATGTGAACATGCATTCCACATTGCCACTTACATTTTTTATTGAGCACCAAATTCCTCAAAATTCGATATTTAATGTTTAAAGGCCCTGTGGACCCCGACAGGTGTTTTCCCTTATTCTAGCTGATTAGACCCGTGCTGGGGAAGTTGGTCACCAAAGTCCTTGTTCTAATAAAAATTGTAAAGGTGTGAGTTGTTTCGAGGCATAACAGGTGCAATACAACTAACATGGGAGTCAGGGGTTTGTAAAGCACAAGTATCAAGGAAGACTTGATTATGTTTATCTAATATTATATTAAACCCAAAAGTGTTAAAGAGAATGTATTGAACTATGGGGTTGTTAGTCTTTGATATCTCTTTTGTTGTGTTCCTAAAGGACATTGAAGATATCTAAGATCAAATATTCCTTTTTTAAATATTATATAATGCGTAATAGTAGGCAACCAAGCATATACATCAGTCCTTGATAACTGTTGCACACGTAACATATTTTGAACATTTTGTGTAACTTTCACATCGTGACAAACTGTTAAACCTAACAAGGCCCTGGTGGTTTTCCCTACAGCCTGATGGCCAAGTCTAATGGCTGTTTGTCTTGCCTCATGGTAATTGGGACACACACACTGTGCAGCAAAGTCTCTGCGATCCTTTTCCTGCTGAGATTCTTCTGCAGGCCCCCTCTGGGTCCTCTGCTTTGTAGGTACTGGTTTCTGCTCTAATGATATCATAATTGCTGTTTCCCTTACAGTGGACAATGGTTGCCAAGCCTGAAGGTGGCCCAGCAAATGAGCTGAAGATCAAAACATGGACACCATGATGAAGGCCAAGGCGATGCAGAAAAATAACAAGTATTCATCAAAGCATTATATATTGCACTTATATTCCGATACTGTTGCTAAGATTTTAGAACCTCATTCTTTGCTTGCCTGCTGAATACCTGGTTATCGACAAAAAACCTCATTAGCGGCAGAAAGTGCAAATGATTGTGCCACCGTCAATTTGGATACCACACATGTGACATGAGGCAGCTGCAAGAAAATTAGATGTTGCCCGACAGAGCGACATATATACACACATAGTTCACACATGTACACATAAAACTCAAGAGATTTGCTAACAATATATTTTGTATTTTATGCATCCTGCAATGTCTGTTTGTACAGTTCACAAAGGCCAGCTCGCCTGCTCCTAGCACAGGAGTGAGATAGTGCAGTGCTGTTTGAACAATCATTTCTCAGTCCAGCTGAATTCATGCTGACGCTCCAGCTTGCTCAGTTTGCTTTCTGAAAACCCTCTTCCTCTTTTTAATCCTCTAAGGGGAAGCAGAGAGGGGGAAAGGGAAAGAGAGACCAGCATTGAATGCTGACAGGGACATAACTTGCCTTCCCTGCATACCTTGTTTACAGTCTCCCTCCCTGCTGCTATACCCTCCTCTCTCAATGGAGCCATAAAAAACAAATAGGGGCTTTTAGAGAAATTGCCTGTGCACTGAAGATTAATAACAGTTGCACCAGTTCACCCAAGAAAGTCTCCAGAGGCAAAAACGATATTGCAAGATTAAAAGTGCCACATCCCTAAATTGGAATGATTCAGAGCTCAGGCTGCTCTCTAACCAGCTTATTGAGAGTCAAGGCCTTGGTCCACCTGCCAGACAAAGAGCATCATTAAGTATTTACTTCAGGATGAGGATCTGCTGCACGAGTATAATGATGAGCTGTGGGCAAGGGATCAATTATTTGTGTCTCAGATGCACGTGTGGTGGCCCTGTACAACAAGACAGGTCATCCTGTGTGAGGTCATCAGTTTATCTCTTCACAATTTGTAGCCCATTAGTTAAAATAGCCTGGTCGCACCAAATATTTGTTTTCATATTGCTATGAAAACAAATCTGTTGGCCTGCTTTCAGACCTTCATTATACATGCACACCTTTGCAAACAAAGAAACTAAAGTTTATGCTAAGTGGATTTAAAGTATAACATATTATCAGAAGCTACTAGTGCCACTTTTGTTGAAAAGGTAAAATTAAATGACAAAAAAAAACATAAATACTAATCCAAAAATAATAAACACCTGTCATGAAATAAAAAATAGTTCCTTGTTATGTTTTTAATTATTATTTTTGTATAACAAGAGCAAAGAAAATACAGTCCACCGGTGTGTGAAACTTATTTTGTACACCCAGCTATCCTTTACTGAATAATAACGGCACTTTTTTCAGCAGTGCCCTACAATTTCTATGGTAACAAGGAAACACACGTGTCCGCAGCAACCAGACTAAAGCGTCTTTGAAGTTGCCTAGCAACCAGTACAAAAAGCAACAACGGGCGTCAGGTTTAGAGAGCCACACAACACAAGTATTAATTAGTTAGCAACATTGCTATTCATTTGCTTTTTTATAAGACAGGACCTGTGGATATGTTGAGGAACATGGAACTAAAGACACAAGGCTTCACCGCGAAGGCCGCCATGAAAAACTCCGTGGTGAGTGAAGTTATTTCACGTTGTTAACGTTAGCTACCTAATGTCCGGTAAATGTTAGCTTTAGCAGTTGTAGTATTTAGCAGTTGGACTTTGTTATTATTGAAACAGTCGACTGACAGCTGCTTGTTTGGTGTGTTTACTGCATTTCACAGGTTGTTGTGGAAGTTTTCATGGATATAATTTGATATTTCGGATAAAAAAAGTGCATATTTAGCGTAACGTAATTTCACAACCAGGTTATCAAAGCGAGCAGCATTATTTCAACCGCTAACTAGCAGTGTTTTAAATGTCTCAGAAAAGAGTCCCCTATAAGTGTCAGAGGGACAGAGAGGCTGAGTTGTTCTTAGTGTGTGGTAGCTATCATGCACACTGACAGTCTGGACTCTCACAGTCTGGCACCTGTAACTAGATTAAGTTACAAATGATGGGGGGAAGGGAAAGCCTTTTTTTGGCAGTTTTGAAATGTCCTCTTTCTATTCCTCTATCTTTCTCTATTGTAATTCAGCACAACTCATCTACTTTGTGCTCTTTGTGAACAGCTTAATCTCAACACCCTAAATAGCCCAGAGAGTTTGGCAGTGGAATAACGACTGGCCACAATGCATGCACATAATGTCTCCAGCCACCATGTGTGTAACTGTTTTTGGTCAGTCAAGCTTGGGTGGGTTTCAGTCAAGTATGGGGATTTGAGAACTCCAAAAAAGATCCATTACACTTTATGGGCTAAAATGACATTTTTAGAACTCATTGCTGAGCTATAACACACCATTTAGAAACTATTACACTCACAAGCAATATGCTAAGAAAAATGCAAATGTATTTTTTTTTTTTAAATACAATCTTGAAATACTACATTTATACAAAAGGAGAATATTTCATAGACTAACATTCTTGGGCGATGATTTGAGTATGATTTTACAAGCATGGAGTCTATTTGATTGCCTAGCCACCACAGCTTTGATGTGTTCTGTAAACTATTGTGCACTCATTTTGTACTGGTGCCTTTTGTCTCACTCTGGGACAAACAAACAAACAAACAAACAAACAAACAAACATTTCTCTGACCATCATTCCCTTGCAAAGCTGTCCCCATCATGAACCTCCAGTGTAGTTAAACTGTGTTGAAAGAGCTGACTAATTTCCAAAGACAGTCATGTCAGGTCTTCCGCTCCTCTCATTTACTGCAAAGCAAGATGGATCAGGAAAGTGTAATAGGTTTGTGTAGCAGAGGACATCTGTCTTTATTGATTCACTCTATTGATTGGTAGGTAAAGCTAGCTTTTGTGCTGCCAAAAAAATATTATTAGAAATCTGGACTAGTTGTATCCTGGTTACGTCTTCTGCACCTGCATCTGTAAATGTATTATTACAATTAGTTACACATTTGTTGTCACTGTGGACCATGGTTAAGTGTACAGAAATGCACAAAAAGAGGATGATAGAGGAAACAGACTTTTGGCATCTTTTGAACCTTGTGTTAGAGGTCCTATATTGTACAAATTTAGATTTCCAAGTCTTGTTTTATTATAAACAAGATCTAAGCACAATATAAATACTGCAAAAGATTCAAAATGCTTAATCCATATATGTGAATGACATCAACTGACAAAGTCAAAATGAACCCAAGAATTTAGCTAGCAACGCAATTCAGACAGTGGGTGAATACAGGTAAACAGTATAAGAAAAATAACATTTATTTAACAATAAAGCATGCAGACATGTTCCAGTAGAAACCCAAAATAAGAAGTATGAAGCTAGAAATAAGCGTAATATATGACCTGTAAGTAAAGCCCTTTTGCTACAGTTGATATTGTACTAGATATGTGCTCATATACTCACCAGAAAGACAACTGTGCTTCAGTGTGTGGTGGAAGAGAGTTGTGTTGTGCTTTGCTCTGTTTTAGGAGTTTGCCGTCTGAGATACCTCTTCTCCTTGCTTTAAGTTCTTACTTTGAACTTTTACACACAGGCAGTTGCGTCTGGTGAGCAACAAAGCATGTCACAGACAGTCATTGCTTTAATTGACAGATTGAGGCATTCTTTTGCTCTCACTTGCCTCAACTCTCAGGCAATTATCCCCAGCCTCTTTTTTCTTACAGACAACACCAGGCTTGTCATTAGAATCTCTTTCTTTCAGCATGGAAATTAAGACAGTTTGCCTACTACAGTATAATACAGTTTTATTCTTTTGTTTATTTCCTGCATGCAAACGTGGCAACTTGTCATTGTGTTTGTTTATCAGGCATATGGTAGACCCTCAGTTCATTCAGGAATTCCAAGAATACCTTATATCTATATTTGATCATGTTTTGATTCTGTTGATGTTGACAGATTTGATTGTGTTCATGGGGAAATGACAACAACACTGCATCAAAGTTTTGGTCAGCAATTATTTAATGAAAGAATTTGAGGAAGTTAAATATTTTCTGTCAGCAATCCCCCAGCTTTACCTATTGTATCCCTTTTACTTATAAAATGTAGACTTTTCAGTCGTATGTACTTTGATGCAAACAATTGAACTAGGTCTCCACTTCACTATGTTTCTTTCAGAAAGCTTGTAACGTTGGGACTGCACTGCAAGGAATCTGTTGTTGATAAGTGCAAGTGGAGGAGCTCTTAAGAACAGCAAATACCTCAAATTAAAGGCAGCTCTCCTTTGAAAAATGCAGCGACTGCAAAATATGCAGTCCGCGCTATCATTTACTTCTTCCCTTTTTGAAGGTCATAAACAAATCACCTTTCAAGAACGTAAAAAGAAAGGCTTCCTGCAAAACCTTAATATTCACCTTCTCCCCAGAGGATCTGCTACATCTGGAACTTGAATGCTACTCCTTCACTGCCATACCACTGGCTAAATCCTTAACGAAAACCATTACATTTTTCAGAGGCTTGCTTGTGTCTGTAGCCTTCTGTTTTTTTTTTCCTCCCCTGTGGTCACTGACATATCGCTCCGGAGAAGGCTTTGCAGAGTGCTGTGATTTGTAGGTAACAACAAGGCCATTTCAAGCCTTGAAAGGGTATGGGGACTTGAAGCATAGGCTTATTATGCTTTAAAGTATTTGTGGTCATAGAAATTCAATCAATAGCACTGGCCCATGAAATTCTCCCCCTTTTTTTCCTTGTGATTCATTCGCAAGCATTTAGAAAAAAAGATGCACATTACATTGTGGTGGGAGGTCGTCACCTTGTGTTTCAGACAGAGAGGAGAACAAAGCTGTTACTTTCCTGTCAAAGGCTTGTTCTAGCTTGGAAATTGCAGGGGTTTGGGGGAAGAGCGAAAACACCTGCATGGTGTTGTGACATGAGCATAAAACACACCCTGTAAATGTTCAAATCACTGTTGACACGGAAAGGAAAAGCAAGTTATACATTATCTTAAACATCCAGTGATAGTGAGTGATATGGATTAAATCGTTTTTCATTGTTTAATCACATGAACATATCTGTTTGGCTAATCCTTAAGGACATCAGAAACTAGTTCAGACTATCAAATATTATAAAAATCCTGTATTGCCTCTAAGCATTCATGCTCGTTGATTTGAAGCTTTGTCCTCACTAGATGTATTCCACGGCAGAGATTCATTATGAGTGGAATAGTGGCTAGTGGCATATGTTTGTATAATTATGGTCGACACGGACATGATGGCTTTTACATTAATCAAAAACTCTGTAGCCCTTGAATGGTTTGTTCTTCAGTCAAATTACAACACAAAAGGTTGTATAGCTGTATTGATCACACCTGCACTTGCCAAATCCGAGCTATTTTTGATTAATGTTGTTTGGAAGCATGCTCAGTAGATTTGAGTGTTTCTAGTAAAGTTTTCCAAAATAGGAATAGCAACGCAACAGACCTATTGCAGTCGCTGAATAAGTCGCCGGTGTGGGCAGTGATTAGGAGGTGCTGAACCAGATTCATGTATTCCCTTTCTCCATTGAAACCATGTTCAGTCCATAACTAACCAGCTCATTTGGGTTTAGTCATTTAGATAGGGTACAATTGACATTAGAGGAATCTGTGACATTGATTTATGTAGTCTATAATCTGTTAAGTATTTGTTTTACAGTATATTGTTTGATCTTTAAGTGTACTGCTTCTATGCTTGAACAAGGTCTGAGGATATGTTTAAGGTCTTACATATCCTTTAGCTGTCTAAGATCAAATATTCCTTTTTTAAATATTATATAATGCGTAATAGTAGGCAACCAAGCATATACATCAGTCCTTGATAACTGTTGCACACGTAACATATTTTGAACATTTTGTGTAACTTTCACATCGTGACAAACTGTTAAACCTAACAAGGCCCTGGTGGTTTTAGACATAGAAGAAAGTGATGAATCTGAACATATCTCTACTTGCTCCTGTGTCCTGCACTACATAGACCACAACAACACACACGCAAGAACATGGACATCATCTTGTGTAAGACGCTGTATAGCACAGTTCACCTGAGAGGGCAAATCGATACGAAGTACACCTGATCCCAACCTCGACTTTGGTGTGGCGAGCGCCTGCAGATTGCTGAGCCTATAGACTGCTTTCATAACACGCACACCTCATTTACTGTTTGCTTGGCCTCTGGGATAAAAAAAATAGAGCTGGCAAACAGCGTCCCCAAGTCTGCTACAACCCCCTTTCCCCCCCCCCAGCCCCAGCGTCATCCCTGGCTCACCCCACTAACCCCAGGGGACAGATGGAGACTCCATGCTAGCAAACGTGACCTCCATATCTCATTCCTTTCCTCCCCCACAGCATCATCATTATATACCTGAGCAGATGCTTGCCTTTCTTTATCTCTCTCTCTCTCTCTCTCTCTCTCTCTCTCTCTCTCTCTCTCTCTCTCTCTCTCTCTCTCTCTCTCTCTCTCTCTCTCGCTGTATTTATTTCTTATTTGTTTCTCTCTCTGTCTTTATCTCTTTCTTACTTTCTCTGCATAACCTTTATTCTCCCAGGCAGGTTCACAGAGATATAAACATTTTACACTGAGAACCAGTGGGAC